CGCAGCGTGCCAACAACAAGGTGATGATCGGTTGATAGCTCTATGCCTTTCTTAACAAGAACATCCATTCCTGAGCGTCTTAGGGCAGACGATGCGATTATCAAATCGATCGTCGACTCCTCTGCACAAGCTTCCCGGTACCAGGTGTACTGATGCACTTTTCGATGCTCGAAGAAGGTGTTCATAATGTACAATTCGTTGTTTGCACAGAACCGCAACAACTTTATGCCGTTATTTTTGAGGTCGCTAGGACCGTTTTTTCTACTCAAGTCATTCATCTTTTCAGCGTTTGCTCTGACATTCGCATTAAAATCGCCCATTTGAATGAGGAACTCCGTATTCTTCCAAAAAAAAACTGGACGTACAGACCTGTAACAAGGTCAATGCTTTTGTTGTAGCTGTTGTAGCTTCAGTCGGAGGATTGCCACTCCCCCAATTGAGAGGTCTCTATTGAATGACTCTGTCAGCCAGATTCAATTCTATCAGAACATCAACATCGACCTGAGCGCGTGTCGTGATATCAACATCTAAAAAGCTTCTACCCGCGAGGTTCAGAATTCTAGATCTCTGGCACTTCGCAGGCGATAGTTCAATTGTACTTACTTGGTAAACTGCGGCCTCATGAACTAGCTCCATCTCTTTCACTTAAGGAAGAAATATTCCACTTTTCAACTGTGATTCGCCACGGTCGGTATCGTTATCGACCTAACTAGAATCTTCGTCATGTCCGCATAAATTTTCTGCAGCTCTCACTGTGCTGCAACGCCTACAGTTGCTACAGAGCACGAAAAATTTTCATATCGCCGATGTTTCGTAATTTTAATTCCCAAGCCACCTACGCGGTCCTTCGTAGCCCGGGCGGTGACCTAACAGGTATAATGTTCGATGACAGCAATGCAATGAGAGGCAGGTGGATAAGTTTCACAGGAGACTTCGCCACCGTGTCAAATCCCCTTCGTTTCAGATCTGAGTTTGGGACAGCGATGATGAAAGGAATTTTAATAAGGTTCAAATATTTTTCCAGACGGTTGCTAATTTAATGCCTAAAGCGTAAATCTAAGAGTCAGTTCTAAGTACACCAATTAGACGACAAGGAATCGATGTGATGCAGGATCGACAATCTACAATCAATATTTCAGTGGCAAACCGTTCATATTTAAAAGACATAAGCCGTGTAAAGGTTACATCAAATCAGTGGTGCTGTAACAGAAAACGTCAACTTACGGAGCTGCCAGCGACCGTCTCAATGGCAGTCGCAAATTTAGGGTCGATCAGCTGAAATAAGTTCGCTACAACGCCTTTCACTCTAGAGTGATCGAAACGGAATTCAGGATCAGTGTATGTAAATTCAACAGGAACCCTAAAATAAAATAATGACTGTAATAAAATAGGTAGTAAATTCGAAAATGGCGTGAGGATCGACATACCTCCTTGCAAAGTCTTCGAGTTCAGAAGTAAGGCTGTAAATTTCTTTCAGCAGAACCTGCTTCTCTGACTTCAGCTGTTGTGCTCGGTTTTCATCATAATTCAGTTTCTTCATAGTATCCTAACTCAAATCAGCGTTTAGAGAAATGAATGAGACACAAACATTATTCTATCGACAGAGTCTATCTTCTGCAGTAGCCCCCATTAATCAATGAAAATCACTGATAAAATCAACCAACATCTGCTGAAATAACGTCGCGTTTCGAATCAGCGAAGTGTCGAGAAGAGATCGTGATTTTATTGATGTACTACTACCTAAATGTTACACTGACACTTTACAGTAATGATTACTGAGTCCAATGGAAAATTCATTCGAAACAAAACTTCACATCGTTTCTTCACTGAACCAGCGATTCTCTCGCTTGTAATACCGCTATTTTTACTCTTTAGTCGATGATAACCCCCTCACTCAATCTGAAGAAGATGCAGATGAAAACAGAACGGAAAAGCAAACTAAAAATAAAATGGACTGCTCAAGACTTTGTTACAAATAATACATCTCAACTAATGAGTAACATCATGACGGTTCAGAATCATGTAATGAATACTGAAACATTGCTTAGAAACTAAAGATTGAGAGAGATTATTCCACGAGTATCATACTTCTGAAGCTTAACTCACATCACAATTTAAAAATTAAACATTATTTCAAAACGTTAATCACAGAATTGACTACAGCGTGAAACTAAAACTGCATACCTCCAAACAAGTAGCTTCCCTCTTCAACGTTTCGACGTTTGCAACAACAGTATTATATGAACTCCTTAACTGATCCAGGCCAGTTTTTCGTTCTTCTAATTGTTCTTTTAGCTCCAACACTCTGGAACATGAATATCTCATAAAATTCTTTAAGAAAATTTTGTTTTCAATGCAAAGGTATCTTCATTTTTCACTTACGCTTTGTAGATCGACTAAACACGTGGCTTTCCTGAAGATACAATGAAACGCAAATATTCCAATAATCAATTAGTAACGAACCAAAAAATTTGAAAATTATTTTACTTGCAAAAAATATCTTATTAAAACCGCGAAAACACGGTTTATGTCATTAACGTTTAAACAAATACTGCCAAACGTTTAACTGTAAAATTCTGTTATAAAGGTGAATAACCGTTGCTAAGATTGAAGTTTAACTGCTTAAATACAATCAAGAAGTGTCAATCATGACAAATAAAAATAACAGTGATACCACTCTTAGCACAGTAAAAATAGCTCAGCGCGTGAGAATAGTTCATTAGTTCATCACGACCGATAACATCAATATAGTGGTGTTTGAAATTAACAGAAAACAGTAAAGACTAGGCTGATAATAAACAGAAAATATGTAATACAAGAACAGAAGCAAGCAACGCGAAAAAGCTTTCACAATTCAGACATTAACATACTGTCCTCTGAAGTTGTCAGATAGATCTGCTACACAACTCAGCATGTACAAAAAGTGTGACATGTACAGCCTGGCAGCAGACAGCTGTGATAATCACCGTGAGAAAATCGCATTCAAATGGTGAGTACTCGGACTGAAGACACTTTTAGTCGTATGCGTGCTGTCAGATTGACCAATGGTATTGCCAACTAGGCCATTCAAAATAAAACACCAAGTTTTGAAAGTTCAATCAGGAATGTCATAACTTATGGCTTTACATATATCGAAGGGAACAGATTAACGTGAAAGAACCGAGCTGACTTTTTAATCTACTGTCAGTTAATTTTAAAATGGATCAACACTGCCTTCCAGTTCATATAAGCAATAATTCTCAATTTGGAAGAAACCGAACGGTGCTGAGAACTGATTTTGTGAAAAAGCGCCGTGATGTGCGGTTTCAAAAATAAACCCGTTCACGCGACAACGAGTATGATAAGTGGATTCAATGTATCCTGACACAGCTTCAACACGTTTGTCTATCTTCTTGTCATGGACGACTACCATTACACTATTCCAAATTTCTTAACACCGCTGAGTTACCACACACGTGCGGCTCTGGTGGATAAACAAAAGCAATAGTTGTTTAGCCGCAAGTTCGTACTGCTCGCGATTATTTCTTCCTTTTGCCACGTGGCTGTAGGCTCTGTTTTAAAAAATAAGTACCCCTGGCTGATGCAGACACGGAGATCAGCACAGCACCACGAACTTCATCTGAAAAGAAGGGCACAAAAATATATCCATCATGAAAGTGAAGAAAGTCCGACTTTCTGACATATAATGGAAGAATGTTTCAATGGGTGCAAAACGATGAACATTCGAAAATTTGCTGCTTGACGGAGTCGCAGAGAAACTCCATTTTTCAGGATATACAAAAATGTACGATTATCACAATTAATTGCTGCACACAGCGAATAAATAAATGCACTATTTTACACTGGGAACAGTTAAGCAATGACGTCTGAGTTGTAATCGCACAGCAGGTCACTGAAAGCAGAGATAACATATTACCGGCAGAGTTCGGCTGTTACATAGATAGTAACATATTGAGATCTGGTGGTTGTGCACGTGATAGACACTGCACAAGGATATCGTGCAGGGCTTGACGCAGTTGCTAAGGATGTTGTTTCATATGCGAATACCATGAGCCACTGCTGATTCGGCAACACAATCACACGATACCAGACCACTTTTAGGCAGATTACCTAGCGTTCTTACCAGATTAAGCGATTTAAAGTCTTAAAAGATTTAAAAGATTTCTCAAAATTTCCTTAAGACTTTAGAGTCACAAACCAATAACCCAAGAAAGATTATGGCCCTCCCATTGGTGTAAAGGGGAAAAACACACGCAACAACGAAGTTTTCAAGTGCTTCCCTGGGTGCTTGCAAGTTCCATAGTTATTTCGCGAAGACGATGCACTGCAAGATTATTCGTAATTGGTTACCATGGTGCAGCTCATGAATGAGTCAAATCTCGTTGGAAAGGTATTAAGTCGTAAAGTCCAAGGTCAAATGACAGCGTCAAGTGATGATGACTGACAGTCCATTAACGCAAATAGCTGGCCGTCGACAGGCGGGTCGATATAGTCGCATAGATTTTCCGCAAAGGCTTCGACGGCAGCAATTCTGTAGTCAGAAATGACATACAAATAATCGACGACAGTGCTGCAACAGGCTGGCTGATGAGTTAAATGCCACTGAGTTAAATGGAAACGAAATAAATTAAAATAAATTACATTAAAAAATTAATTGCATTTTATCCTTTTAAACACTGCAACGCGAGGCGCTGTAAACAATCATTTGCTACAATCCCTACCTTACCGAAGGTCTTGAAGATGAAGATCAGAACTATTCTGTGACATCTTTGGATGGTATTCACGGAGCTTCCCGTTTAAAGGCACACAGAATTTGCCTTCAGAAACAGTGCAATGAATGATTGACGTCATCCAGCCGAAAGCAAAAAAGTAAAGTATGCAACTGTACGAACGTCGGACTTAATTACGCTTTCATGATGGGACTAATTCTGGCGCCTTGCTTTCCATGAAACTCATGATCCGATGCTGATGTCCATTTCCATGCCATCAGTGACAAGTGGCATATTTTAAGGGCAGAGTCGACAGCAGGTATGTGACAAGCACAACTGTAGTCTTCTATTTTCTTTCCACACAGTGCTGCTCATTAATGCTCATTAATCAACAGACGAAAAAAGACAGACGAAAAAACCAAATGTGGATTGAACATGGGATTGCTCAGTTTTGAGCCAGAAGTTCGACTGATCGAGTAACACCGTGCAAGAAGGACAGACTGTCGCTGAACTAAAGGCTTGATTTACTTGACTGCAAAAGGCACTCAATTTGGGACCAATATAAATTCGTGAGTTTCACGAAAAAAACGCCAAAATTTCTAAGGCTGACAACAATACTGTGCCGTAGATGACTTGAATGTAGAATATCTTCTGATTCCGTGGTTGGCAACATGAGCAAACAAGAAAAACCGTTTTATTTACAAAAAGTTCTACGTTTCAACCGAATTTGCATCGTCATCAGGGAAAAAATAAAAAAAGCGATGATGACCATGCTAATTCGGTTGAAACGTTGTAAATAAAACCATTTTTCTTGTTTTCTAGTGCTGCCAACCATTGAATCAGAATTCCTATCACCTAAAAACGTTATATTCAACAATTTCAGTTCAACTGTCATGACTGGTCAATAACTGTCTCGTCCAGCTGAAATATATCTTTCATACAAGAGTGAGTCCCCCAACCTGTCCAGAACTTTGCTGAATACAGTCGGTTGGTCAACATATCGTAACGCATTTTAATTCTCGATAAGATCGTCTAGCTAAAATCGCAGCGTATCGCAGATCGTAGCAGCAAAGTTCAGAGCTTTAAAACGTGCCTCTGACTGTTTAACCACTGAGGACTTGCAGTCACTGAACGATTCAATGACGGATGAAAGATCATTAGGTCTTAGATTCATAATATACGAACCTCCGATGCTCGGGATTTCCTTTAAAATGCAGCACTGAAGCAGTTTGCACTGAGCTACGTTTCCAGAACAATATGCAGATTCGCTCTGTCGTTTTAGCTTGATCGGGTGTGCGATCACAAATTTTTGGCTGAACATCAACTAATGTAATTGGTAGTAACTACTACGTAAGAAATAATGTAACAACTTATTATTTCTGTCGGTTCAACCAGAGGGATGCAGTCGAACTCTGGCAACGTAAAGTCGAACATGGTTTTCAATTCTTTAACATAGATTAATGGCAAATAGTGTTCTTGAAAAACAGCGGCGTTTATCTAGCTTTAATTACGTATGTATGTATGCATGCAAGTATATAATATACAGGTCTGAATGGAGCC